GGGCCGGGATTAAAGAAAACAGGGGCTCCCCAGCCTCCTGAGGCAATAAAAGGAGGGGGAGAGCCAGGTGAGTGTGGCTGAGATGAGATGGAACAGGGAAGGAGGAAGGGGAGGGGGTGAAGCAAGCACAGAGGGAGTAAATAAAAAAGAGGGGTGGCTGCAAAGAAAGAGCCGAAAGGTAATGAAAGGAAGAGATATATATCGAGAGGGATGAAGCCAGAATAAAAAAGGGGGATGAAGAGGAATAAAGAAGGTTTTAGAGAGGAAAGACAGGGGAGGTGGAAAATGGATGAGCACAAAAAGCAAAAAGAGAGAGAGGGAGAGAGGGAGAGAGAGAGAGAGATTGAGAGGGAGGACAGGGCAGCGGGGAGGCATGAAGAAGAGATGTGGACAGAAAGGTAAAGAGAATGGTAGAGAGAGGAGGTCAAGGTGGAGCCGTGCAGACAGAAACTAAGCCTGAGACACAGTGTGTTGTAATTCATAGCTGGCTGCAGCTCCTGCGTGCGTGCCTGTGTTTGTCCGTCTGGGTCAGTGGATGTGAACAAGTGTGTGTGCACATTAGCACGCTTGAGTGCAGGCAAAGATAGTTTTTTTTTCCTATGACTGCATGTCCGAGTTGAGGTTTGTGTGTATATTCGACAGAGAGAGAATGTGAGTTAGATAAAAGCAGCTTGAGCAGATTGGGGGTGGGGTTTGGTTCATGTGTGTATGGGTTGCTTTGTGGCAGTGGTGAACGATTCAAACCCATCTCCAGCTACCTCAGATGTGCCGGGGCTACGGACTGACCCTCAATGCCTCTGTCTTATTGGTGTGGCCTGTGTGCTTCAGTCAGCAGTAACCAGCTGACCTAATATCTCCCTGTACTGCACTACACCTGCAAACGCACATTTGACTCTCCCTCTGAATGGAACCAAGGACTAACGTGTTGTTGATGAACCTGTTTGTGTCAGCCTCACTTTGAATAATGCATGTATAAATGAGCCCAAAACAACCAGAAGGCCGATCATACAGGAACCTAATGTTGTGAAAGTTCAAAAAGGAAGCCCAGGAAGAAGATATTGATGAAAAACGTATCATTAGCTGTCAGGTATGCTCTGTTTGATGCAGAAACAGCCTCTGTATTAGGCTCCCCTCTTTCTGACTTGTAGCTTCTTGTGTAGAAATCCTTGACATCTAATGTAGGTAAGACTATTGTATGAATGTTATTGTTTTTTTATTCTCATCAGGAAATGGTATCCTTCATAAACCTGAAGAGCAGCTAATTTCATTTACTTAAAAAATGGATTTGAAGGTTGTGTCTCTAAGGCATACAAAATGTCACACACTGCACATCAACCTGTTGTTTTAGTCAGATCTGTAGGACAAAATGAAGGATATATTTTGGTACAAAGCTAGAGAGGAAGTCTTCACAATGTTATGGAAATAATGAGGCTGCATCTTACCTGACCTACCGCATCAGTGAACGGTGTCACTTGGGGCTTTCAAAAGCTTTGATCAGAAGATCAAAACAGATCATTTCACCTCACAACTAAAAGGCCTTTTCAATTTTTTTATTAATGACGTCACCTTTCCTTGCATGTGAGTGGACCTGAAGTTGTACAAAATGGAGTATTTATATTTATATATAAATATTTTTTGGTCATTTTTTTTTGGTCAGTTTTCTTGTGACCTATCACACATTTCTTTACTTTCTTTACCAAAAATGTAATGTAATGTAATTAACTCAGATGTCTATACCAAGGTATGTACCAAACGGTGGCATGCCTGAACCGTTACACCCCTAGATGTCTCTAAAAGTCATCCCCAGTCAGTTGGAGTACTGAAGTTACTTCAAATACTGTAATTCAGTAAGATTAAAACCCTGTGAACACCTTTACTAACCGGTCTTAGCCAGTTTGAGTTTCATTTTTGCCTTCATGTGCTCATGTCTTTGTTTTTTTTTTTCTTACAGGCTTAAAAATGCAGTGGACCCCAGAACACAGTCAGTGGGCCGAACAGCATTTCGACATAAGCTCCACAACACGCTCGCCGGCCCATAAGGCTGAGGCCTACAGGACAGTTCCTGGTCACCTGCAGCGCTCTGCCACCTACCAGTATGCGTGGGCCAACGATGACATCTCCGCCCTCACTGCCTCCAACCTGCTCAAGAAGTATGCAGAGAAGTACTCTGGTATTCTCGAGATGCCTGGCTCATATTCTGAGTCTCAGGGTGTGCCGGGAGTGATGAACGGTCGTAAAGGGGAATCAGAGCCCTGGCAAGATGGTGTCTACCCCATGAGTTGTATCCCAGACGGAGTTTCCATCAGAAAAGGTGGGGTGGCAGCAGCTTCAGAGATAGTGTCTGGCATGTGCAGCTCCCCTGGTCTGGCCTCAAGCACCCTGACTGAACCCAGCTACTCCAGCAGCAGCTGTGGAAGCCACACAGCCACTGCCCTCCACTCCTCCTCCATGGCCTCTCAGGAATATGCTCCTGCATACAGTGGCTCCTACCTGCACAGCAGTTACAGCTCCCAGTCTGCCCCCACCCCTGTTCTTCCCTCCCCATTGCACAGTTCTGGGCTCCTGCAGCCACCTCCTCCACCCGCATCCCATCCAACATTGGTTCCACCTTACAACGGAGGCTCTCCAAACCTGTCTAGTTACAATTACCCCCCAGCGGGCTACCCAGCTCAGGGTGCAGTTGGGCCTGGATACAGTCCTGGGGGAGCACCGCCTCCGTCCTCATACCTACCTTCAGGCATTGCTGCCCCCACACCTCTTCCCCCTTCCTCTACTTTACCTGGATATCCGTACCAGAGCCACAACCTGACCCCGATCACCCCTCTAAGCAGCAGCTCCTCCAACTCACTGAAGAGAAAAGCCTTGTACATGACCAGTCAAGTAGAGATGGACTCCACTTATGGTAATTTTGGCTATGGTCAGACTCGGAGCACAGCTGAGAGCCCCATGTACAAGGTGGCAGACAGCACGAGTGCAACTGCAGCTTCCAACAGCACTACTGGTGGCTTCGACGGGAGCAGTGAAAAGTCATCTTTACCTTTTGTTTCTCAAAAACAGTCCACTATGACTTCAGAGCAGCAACAAAGGAAGTACAGCAGCCAGGCAACAGGTGGTCCACTGACTCCACCAGTCTATACTTCCTCAACCCTGGGGGGTTCCCGCTCAGCAGACTCCATTGCAAGCTTTACTTCTCCATCTCTCAGTGAACAAAGTGTTGATGATCATCGTCACCACCTTTCTCACTCAGCACCAGGGACCAACTCCTCCACATCTTCATCTTCTCGGCACACAGAAGAACAGCTGAAAACCAATGACCCTCACCTCCTTGATATGGTTACCTCTGAAATCCTTCAACAGGGTCTCCCAGTGGACTGGAGTGATATTGCTGGTTTAGAATTGGCCAAGACCACCTTGAAGGAGGAGGTTTTGTGGCCCATTCTTCGCCCAGACATGTTCAGTTTAGGACCAGCCCCACGATGTGTGTTGCTGTTTGGTCCGAGGGGCAGTGGAAGGACGTTGCTGGGTCGCTGCTTGGCCAGCCAGTTGGGGGCATCATTCCTTCAGCTGAGTGGTTCCACCTTAGCTACCAAGTGGCTAACTGAGGGTGAAAAGATCATCAGAGCATCTTTTCTGGTGGCTCGATGTCGTCATCCCTCAGTACTGTTCATTAGCGAAGTGGACATGTTGTTGTCGGCTCACCTCAGTGAAGAGAGTCCTATCAACCGACTGAAAGGGGAACTGCTTTCCCAGTTAGACTCGTTACTCATTGGCTCCAGTGAAGATGGAAGCAACCAAGTGTTGGTGGTTTGCTCAACCAGCAGACCGCAAGACATGGATGAAGGACTGCGGAGATACTTTGCTCGCAGGGTCCTTGTACCCCTTCCGGATAGCCCAGCAAGACATCAGATGTTTAACCATATCCTGGCCCAATCTCAGCACAAGTTCTGCTTGAGTGAGGAGGAGGTGGCGCTGTTAGTCCAGCGAACAGAGGGTTTCTCTGGACTAGATCTAACAAGACTTTGTCAGGAGGCCATCGTAGGTCTGTTACATGGTTCTGCGCAGGGCATGGACATCACAGGTATGATGGCAAGGGGACAGATCAGACCCCTCACCTACCAGGACTTTGAGGGTGTCTTCTGTAAATTCCAGGCCAGTATATCTCAGAAAGAAATTGACACCTACACAGAGTGGAACAAAATGTTTGGCTGCAGCCAGTGAAGAAACAGAGCACTGCCCTAGAGATATTCTTTGGGCAGAATTTGTATTGGAAAGTAAGGTCAACACAAAGGCTCACCAAGTTTTTACCTGCAGTGCTGAGATACTGGCAAAGACCTGATTTGATGAGACAACTGTCAGTTTTATGATCATTGACTAAGAGTTGTGATCAGAATGCTTGACCCTCTGGAAAGCCACAAAGAAATGCCCTAATGTCTGTGTAAATATATATACATATATTGCTTTGTTCTTGTTCTTGGGATTTACGTTGGCTATCCAAGTGCCTGAAGTGGTGCTTTCTCACTTTCTTTCCTCATTTGCCTCACAATCTACATCCACGGCACGGGCTGAGTATTTTTAAGAGCTTTAAATTTACCTGTTATTGTAAATGGCAGTTTTGACAGTTGCCATTCCTGGCGGTTAATTGGTGTTTATCATCTTGCTAAAAGCGGTGATTTGTTAGAGCGACAGTAGTCTGGGCTCATCCCTTCAGATACTTGTCTGAAAACAAACAAATATAAACAAAACTCAGGAAAGCATTTGTTGACAAAGAGCACTAAAGATCTAATTTTAAGGTGGTTTGGCAATGTATGACTAGCAAAGCATTGTCAGGTTTACCTCAACTGGCTAGCATAAATGTTGAAGATATGACAATGAATGTACTAATATTCTCTCTATTGGTGTGACATTATCAACACTGAAAATCAAAAATGTTTTTCCATTTATTTTTCTTTGCAGCAGGTGTTTCTTTTCAGAAACCTGACTCCTTCTTGATGATTTCTTTTGTATGATTTAAATACTGTGTTAACACAGTGTTGGGTGTTATTTTAACACTATTCACAATTCCTGTTGAAATCAGCAAGTAAATTTAACAACTTTCAACTAAACCTAACACTAATTTAATTTTGGGTAATTCATGAAAAGGTTCCAGCAGGTTCACAGTGCTAGCTACCTGTTAGCTCCACCCATGCTGTTACTGCATAAATATGGCATGATTCACCAGTGAGTTGCCCCATACATAGATACATGAATATTTCTAGTATTTCTTATTTAACCCAGAAGTGTTCATTAATCAGGGGTTGGTACAACTGTATTCTTTGGTTGGAGTTTTTGAGCTGTAGGCCGACCAGTTCAGATCACAACCTAATATAAAAAGTGGAAATTCTCGTCAGTTTAATTTTTTAAGCCTTTTTGGTTGCAGTACTGCTGTCTGACCCAAAGATTTTTTTTTCTGTGAGAGATTTTTCCTTCTGTTTAGTCACAATCTTTTTTGCAAATATGGACCACATGTTGGCCCACATATGGACCACAATCTGAAGCCTACGGATAAACCTACACTCATTTTTGCCTTTTTACGTTTTTTTTTGTTTTATTTTTTTTTTTAATCATCATTTCTTATCTTATATTTTTGTGTTTTTATTATGATAAAGGTTTGTTTTGTTTGCCAGATACAGGGTTGTGGTTGAGGTATTGACCTTCTCTTGGTCTTCAATTAAATGTCTCGTATTAGTTTCTAATTTTTCATAGTGTTTTTCATTCCACAGACTTTAGCTTTGTAAAGTAGACAGTCCAAAGGTTTAGGTTTCATCCTCTTGGATAGATATTTGTTATTTTTCTGTGCAGTACCCGTCAGGAGTAGGAATAGGTTGTGAAAACCTACTGTATACCTGATATACCAACATTGAATAGTTTGGGATACCAATGCTATGATTTTAATCATATTTTGGAAAATATAAATTAAAATAATTTAATTTAAAAGTCATCCAGATTTTCTCAATCAAAGCACCAATGTTTCTTCATTTAGTAATTTATGTTTTGTATACAGATGTCATGGAGCACGTATGCTAACATGTACTTTTCCTGTTTACTGAAAGGCTATGTATGATGAGCGACTGGACTGACTTTCTACCATCTCAGAGGTAGTTAAGACTTTTGTACATATGTGCACTAAATTATTTATTAGTGCATAGTTTTGTTGGAAAGTCCCATTAGCCACATTCTCAAAACATAGTTCCTGGAACATTAGGATTGAAGGGATCTTCCATGCTAAGGCTACCTGCAGTTACTTGTGGTGAAAGTTATCTGAAGATGATGCCAGTCACTCCATGGAGGCTGTGAGAACAGGTCTACCAAGTTTACATTGTAAACTTTCGACATTTTTATATGGAGGGAGAAGGGAAAGACAGCCGGGCCACTGAGCAGCAGAGGTTCAGCAAACCAACCTCAGAATCAAATGTACTAGAAGTCATTCTGTCAGCAGATTTTCAAAAGAAAGACAAAAGAACTGACTAATGCACTTCAGAGCACAGCAGACCATAATAGCCCTGGCTCTCTCTCTCTGACCGCTCCAACAACACTGGCCGATGCTACACTCCTTTGTGTTCTACTCTATGCTGTGTTAAATCTTGTTTTGTTTTTCTTTTCTTTTTTGCTATGAGCTCAACATTTTTATTTTTGGTGTCCTTTGATGCATTTCTACCTCATGGCTATAAAACCACACATTGTATTAGATCTTTTTTCCCAAATGTCAGACATTGGTGAAAAAAACATTGGGGATTAAAACAAAACAAGCAGTTGTGGTAACACACTATTTGTGCGCAGTCTACCTCAGATGACTGTACATAAAACTGAAGCTGATGCTGCAATTACAGACTGCAGCATGGCCTTGTGCATACCTGTAAAACCTTCAGAAAGTTTTATCAACATCCATCCTGACTGATTCAGTCACATGAAAGCAGAATGTAAGGTGAAATGTTCCAAGATTGCATAAAAATTCAATGATACCATCTGATTTTTTTAACACCAAAGAAGAAGAATGGAAGTAGGAATTTCTCCACTAGGCTGTAAATTCTTGGCTGCGTTAAGACTTTGGTAACTTCAAGACCATCTTCTTTGTTTGCAGTATGTCCTTTGACACACTGCATTTGGGGAAATGTCCTCTGCCCTTATCTACTGCCTCCTCTGGTGACGTCTTTACACTCATGTAAGCAAAAAAAAAAAAAAAAACATCTTGGCTAACATCCTCTGACCTTTAACCCAGGGGCCACCAACATTTTAAAACTGAGAGCTACTTTAAGGACACTTAGTAGTACAAAGAGCTACTTGTTTGACACAGACTTCCTCAACAATGTGATGATAATTAGTTCTGGGACATACAATAGTACTGCACTCATATGAATAACACCGCAAGTGGAACTGATTCAGAAAGCACAGTAACAGTACAACGTTGACCCTCTAGTTGACTAGGGTTATTTTTAGAACTTACCCCGTGGACACCCTAGGTAGTTCACGGGGGCTACCAGGTGACCCCGGGCACCACGTTGGTGACCCCCGGCTCTAACCCATTTAAGTAAAGACCTCTATTTTACCCTACATTCTCTGACCCATGTCAGTAGTGAGCACCTTTTAAGCTAACGTTCTCTGACCCATGTAAGTAAAGACCATCTTTTTATCTAACCTCCTCTGATCCATGTAAGTAAAGACCACCTCTTTAGCCGACATCCTCTTTCTCACATAAATAAAGACCACCTCTTTCGCCGACATCTTCTGACCCATGTAAATAAAGACCACATCTTCAGCTGACGTCGTCTTTTTTAGCCTACATCCTCTGTAATAAAAGACTAACCCTTTAGCTTGACATTCTCCGACCCACCAGAGTAAAATCAAACTCTCCGCCCAACGTGGATCCCATGTACTCTGACCTGCTAGATTTAATATTGCCTCCATTGCTCACATGCTAAGGGATCGGAGTATGGAAGTCAAAACATTCACATTGGATGTTCAAATTCTAACTCTTGTCAAGTATTTAAGAAATAATCATACTTTTGACAGCCCGGTTTTATTTTGTGAGGGAGAAGCTGAGATGAAGTACAGTGTAACTGAAATAATTTCAGATATTGTTTCTGTATTTGAAACTAATGAGATCTGACCCCATGTCCTCACAGTCGATGATTTTCAAAATGACTCTTTGTTCTCAGCCCTATCTGCCTTTGATTGGATCACTTAAGACTAATGTTAATGTTAGGTTTGAGCTGGCTCTCTGTGATATACGCTCCGATACCACTGATGTCAGACGACGTGATAATTATGTGAGAAAGGAGGAGTTAGGGGTTACCCTGCAAGGGTGACCAGGAAAATGTAAAATCCAATACATTTGCTTTAATCTTCGTGTGAACTAATGTTGTTGTGCGCGTGTGAATGTGTACTTACGTGGGCACACTTTTCTCTTTCCTTTTCCTAATCAGTGTGTTGAATTTTATAAATTGTTAGTATATATAACACACTTGCACAACTTTCAAAACAAGTGTAATGTGTTTCTGTTGTACATACCTATACATACAAAACAAATGCACCACTTGTTTATATGTGTGAATATGTTGCCATTCTTGCAGTCGACCTTAAATGTATTTTGATGTAATCTGAGGTACATAAAGCGACAAACGATTCATTAAAGACATTTTCTTGGGAGATTTTCATCTTGTACCCTTCTTTTTTACTACGTTTTTTTACGTACCCATCGAGCCTGACGCTGCGTTCTGTTGACATGGGAGATCATGAGCTGGAGATTGGAGTGACATCATCCTGGAGTTGAATGTTTGCTAGTTGTGTAGGCTTTGAAGATTCAAGATTTAAAGGCAGGTTTATGCCAATGATACTATTCTTTAGAGCAGCGTTTCCCAAACTTTTTTGAGCCAAGGTACATACTGTATTTCACAATACAAAAAACCCAAAGGGCATCACCAAATAAAAATGTACTAGAGTAGAATAGAAAGCTTGTATTGGCATTGTACAACAAGCCATGCCGTAGACACAACAAATTGCACAATTTAGAAGATATACAAAATGAAATATGATGATCCTCTAATTTCAATTTTCTCATAATTTACTGACTATTTAGTTGAACACAGTGCTGATATACCTGAAGGGAATTGAAGAAAGACTCACACAAAAGATCTTCCTAAAACTCTATATTTTCTTTTTCTTTTATTACATAATTGGTATACCTCAGTCAGTAAATAAATAATACTTTTCACATCAGTTAAGTAAAATCGGATACATTTCCACAGCACACCTGACGATCTCTCAGGACACACAGGTGTGCCACGGCGAACAGGTTGGCTTCAGGGGGAAATAAAGGGAAGTAATTACAATAGCAAAGGTGGCACCACTGTTTATACTGATACTATAAGGTACTGTATTTAAGCTCCCCGGCTAGATTTGTCTGTATAAATCCACTGTAGCCCCAACTCCAAACCCAGGGGGGCGGTAGAGTGGGAAGGGCAGAACTGTGCAGTATCTCTATGATAGTGAAGACTACATCGGACACATCGTGTGAGGTCTGTCCGTCTCCCTTCCCCCCGTTTATCATCACACTCACCTGTGTCTTACTGGTGTCACCTGGTGTCACCTGGTGTCCTGGCTGTATATATGTTTATTGTTGAATAAACCTCCTGCACCTGATCCACATCTGTTGCTGCTGGATTTAGGTCCTACCTGCTTTCCAATGTTACAAGACGCAAGACTTTGGCCAGAAAAGAAAGAAAAAAAAAACTTTTATTTTTGTTCTGACATCTTGTTAGTGTTAGAACATGATGCGTTACCTGATTCACGTGTTTGGTGCAGCTAGTACAAACATATTTAATGGTTGATGTTGCGTGTTTGCTTGTAAAACAAAATCAATATCAATGTCTCAAAGGCCCAAACATTAGCTTGTCTACATCATATACCAACACTGTCACTGCTGATTTACTGATAACTGGTACCAAATGTAATGCCACCAGGACAGAGATTCTCCAGGCCTGTGTTCACGCAGTACGCTGAAAACCAATCATAATAATAATAATAATAATAATAATAATAATAATAATAATAATAATAATAATAATAATAATAATAATAATAATAATAATAATAATAATAATAATAATAAAAAAACAGCGACCGTGTTTCTGTATTTGGAAAGAGGGGGTTAACCCTTCATGTTCATGTTGTTTTTGTTTACACAGGGACTAATAACAAGGGTTTATTTATCGGTACAAGAGAAAGAAAAAATATTCTGTCCTGCCAAAAAAAACCCCAAAAAAAACAGTAAAGCTGAAAAATGGCCTTAATGAGCCTAGAGTTAGTCACCCTTGTGTACAATTATAAAATCATCTGTGATGTGCGGGAGCCTGTGCTTTCTCATTAAAATGTAACAATTCATTTCTCTTTACTGTAGTGAGAACACGGCAAGACCAAAAACATTAAGGCATTAATTATCTTTCTCCATCACAAAGAATTTGGATAATGTGATCTGGGCCTAATGGAAATGATACGCATTTGTCCGCCGCATTTCCGAGCTATCATTATTCTATACGCTATCTGCTGCTGCGGTGTGGGAAGATGTTGTCGAAGCCCTATCATTATCTGTGAAAACTCGCAGCACTTTATAGCCGTACCTGTTCCCTGTTTCAGTTCATGGTTTGGTTGTGATGTTTGCAAAAATAACCGTTGAGTTTTGAAGAGTGACTTGTTTCTTTCTCACATGTGAAGAGCGCTAACGCATTAGCCTCAGTGGCAGGAAAGAAAAATCACCTCTAGTCCAACAAATGTGTTTACCAACAGTCTCCTATAATATTTTATATTATATTTATTTAATATTTAATTTTGCTCTCACCTCATTTTATTGCAACGTCTTTAAATAATATGAAGTGATTTTTCACTAGTGGTTTTTATGTAATATTTTGGATACAATTTTTTCTTTTTTACTTAAAGCTAGATGTGGACTAATTGTATTTTATCCTTTTACCAGTTTATAGTAATTTTCCCCTCAAGGTTTTCCCCTCAAGTGTCTTTACTGATATTGAGTGTTGGATACAGTTATTATGTTTAAAGGTAATGGAACTTTTTCCATGTCTGATACTGATACGGCAACCTGGTGTGTCTGCAGGTTTAGCATTTGGGCTACGGTATTAGATCAGACGGGCTACAGTTGTTTATTTGATCCTGAAATTTTGATCTTTATTAGATTGATGACCAATCCTGAGTATTGGATCAATCCATCCCTATTTAATGGACCACCATATTGGAGTCAGATTCAGTGTTTGTTGCTGAATAAGTCTTGGCTTACGTTTCGTTATCAAAACTAATTTCCAACCTATTTCCCTTTTTTTTTTCTTTTTTTTTTTGGCTTTAAAAGTTTGTCTTCCTCCCGACGACAAACTAGTGACAAACAATTCTAAAATAAATACCTGTTTGGAAAAACAAAGTCATAAAATGATGTATGTAAGATCTAATCTAATCTGATCTTTGTTCTTTTTTTACACCGTAAAAGTGGTGGAGACTGGACTAGAAATGAAACAATGTGGGGGAGGAAATGGAAGGTGAGAAACGGACAGAGAAGGAGGAGAAGGCTAAAAACAGCTTAAGTATTCCTTCTGAGGCGAGACAGGTCCTATTAACATTTAATAGCGTTTGCGCAACTTACTGTAGAGGTTAGGATGCAAATGAGGAGGAATTAAAAGTGGCCAGAGGTTTGTCATTGATGGATTGCAGTCTGGAGGTACTCACCACATCCTAGTGTCCATCACTGACCATTACTGTATAATTAAACCTTATTTCTGGACTGCCTGCTGCATAATTACTTGTGTGGGAATGTAAGCATGGTGTAAAACGCTTTAGCATTTCACTTGGCAGCCCGCAGTCGCAGCCAGGATAAAGACCGAGCCATCTGATGATCAGCAAAAGAACAGTCACTTTTAATAAGTGCTGTGGAAAAAAAATATTAAGAGACAGTGTGCTGATTATAGGAAAATTAGGCTTTCAAGTGCTAAAGTCCATTGTGTTATTTGCATAATTTATTCCAGCGCTACCCCCACTTCGACCACCACCACCTCTGATTTTTTTTTTTCTTTTTTTCTTTCTGCAAGCTGTAGGCAATTTCCTCTCTATTTGAATAGATTGCACATTTACCACTACTTAAGGGAAAAAAGATCACTTAGCATATTTTAATTGTCACACAAAGGTCTGTTAAATTCAAGAGGACATAGCATGTCGTACCCAGAGGTTCACACACATAGAGTCACATCTTCTTACATACACACACACATTGAACATGTGTAACTCTGGATAAAAATCTCTTTTTTTTGTTCAAAATATGGCTTTGAATGTCTTCTTAAATCCCTAAACTGTCGTTAATCTTGAACAAAATATATTAAATAATTGTATTAATATTTTTCCAAGTAAAGTTCTCTCTCAAAGACAAACCAAAAACCAAAAAGTCCCAAATATGTAGTTTATATATTTTTCGTATTTAAAAAGGTCTAGTAGATTCTCTAAAACTAAAACACTTTTTGAAACCATTTTTGCTAAATGTCTGATTGTGACACTGTTACACTGAGAAACTAAGACCTCACTAAGCTACAAATGACATGGCATAAAGCACAGCAGCAGATTAAGTTTGTTGTCTTCTTCCTAATGTTACATTTCCATCCACTAACATTTTACAGACCATTTTTAATTAGTATTAATAATATTTTGGGGCATTTTTTAATTTTTTAATTTTTTTCAAATCAATTTTTTAAATTATGTCATGACACCTTAACATTTCTCCATATTTCATTATTCACTTTAATAAACTGTACCAAAACAACAAACAAACAAAAACAACTCTACACAATACAACCGTCTCCCCAGTGTAGCATCAATGAAGTTCAATCCAATCTCTGCATGTATGTATGTGTTAATACCTGCAGAAAAAAAGGTGCAATTATCAGGACACAATCCCTATTTTCAGACTCAACATTTTTAAACACTATTCATAAATATGTGCAGATCATTATTATTGGACACAGCCAGTAGCTTCAATCCCAGGTGATTAGTGATGGTCTTTCTGTATGGAGTGTTTATCCTCCTCCCATGTGTGCATGGGTTTTCTCCCACAGTACAACAACAAACATGAGTGGTTTGTATGATCACATGATATGAATGGCTATGCTTGTTATGTCCGTACAAAGAGGTCATACTATCAATATTATTATAGAAATACAGAAATTCAGAGTTCTTTGATTTTCCTTAAAGATATGATGTCACCAAAGTCCACCCCGTGCCTTCTATTGTGTCCTTCTCTCGGCCACAGCCTTCGTTCCAGTTCCCTCTCTCCTCTCCTCTCCTGTCATGCCTCCACTAATCTTTCACTTTGCCGTCGCCCCTCCTCCTTTCGTTTCCCGTCTCTTCGCAGCGAGGCCTCGCAGTGGAAGCAGCCATTGAACGGTTACTGATGCACTAATTGGGAGCAACACTTACAGTTTTATCTCTCCCACCGCTGCTAATAGTGTTGTGCACTGGAGGAGCTCACCTCAGGATGAGGAGTAGATGGATGGATGTGGGGTGGAGGAGGTGCTGGGGAGAAATTCCTTCACACAGACATTGTGGTCCGTATCTGGCAGCGACTCAGACTAAAGTCTCTGCTTCATTCATTGAAAACTATGCCTCTTTTTGACTAAAATAAGGAATTGTTTATCTGAGTTTTGTTTGTTTTGTTTTTTTCATAGTGGTTGCAATCATTATGTCTCCGCACTGTTTTTCAGAAACGTGTTATCATGTCTGCCTTGATTGTGTCCTGTGCAGCGTCGGCTGAGATAAACACACAGGCTTCTTAGCTGTGCTGATGCCAGGACTGTTTTTCTCTGAATCATTTGAAGTCTTATCAGCTTTTATGGAAATAAAGCCTTTGCTTAATAAACTGTTCTATGGGCTTTGGGAGAGGAGCACATAAACACCTTCTATTTTTTTTTCTTCGTTTCAACAACACCATCATTAGCGCGTCTTGTTCAATGCTTTACACATAATTGGAATCAACACGCATTGTTCGCGTTCTTGACCTTCCGCTTGTTTTCCAGCAGAGACAGCGAAACATCGTATGGATGCTGAGATAGAATCTTAACTAGGAGCGAACCTGCCAAGTGCCTTTGCTTTGTTTTGTCAGGGCCACATCGCTTCACTTTGAATGGATCCCAAAAACTCACAGCTTTTTGTTTTGTTTTGTTTTACCAGTCCCAAAGTGGTACCGTGTGTTTCAACATGCTAGTGAAATTAATCAAACTGTTTCCTGCCTAATTGTGTGACACCAAACTTCCTTCATAAAGCAGGAGGTCATAACAAGTTCCCACATGTTAATTTGGATTTGGATGGATTCCTCCACAGCAGTTTCTTCAGGCCAAGGGCTTTGAAACTGCAGCAGGGACCTGCGATGCAATTTAAAAAAATTAATTAATTAATTTGGCCAGTCAACTAGAACCTGCAGTACCGTCTCTAACCTGTATGGGGTCATTGAACCACTATTGTACAATTTTACTAAATGGAATTTTGCAGCGCTGCAAAAAATGAACTGTGTTCAACTACATGGGTTTTTAGATTAAGAACGTTGTGAATATTTGCTACAAGAATATGCTTTTTGCAGCAGAACTGAATTTCTCTGTAGAATTGTTGACATTTCACATATTCAGAGATTAGCTAACGCCCAAGGTTTTAGTGTTTGTTTGCCTTAAAAACAGACACACGCTGCATCAGATTGGCTTATTGACACAGACCTACCACACGAGGCAGCAGCGTGGATCTCTGTGAGATAAAGTGCTGTTTGAACTCAGGTGAAGTTGTTTTTTTAATGGTCTGGAGAAGCGATGTGCTGTTCTAGACCATATTCCATTCCACTGCCATTGTCTCCAATGAAGACATCACCCTGAATTGTCTTCACCGTCTGCTGATGCATGTTGATTCCATGTGTTTTATAAAGGAACTCCTGATTATGCAAATATATTATTATGTTAATTGTCTTTAATAATGCATGAAGCTGGCATATTGAAAATGCTTTGCATTTATTTTCATGCAAATCTGTTGTGAGGGATGTGTTAATTGACACTTATCAAATATCCAGCACATCTAGAAGTGTACGTTCGGCAAAAACGACAAATTATATCAATGGGGAAATATTGGGATGCGAACCTAGAGCTCGTCACATCACAGCTTTTGTCTTTCATTTACATGGTTGACACTGTTTGACTCTGTGTCTCGTGTCTCGTCTTATTCACTTCCTGTCCGTCTGTGATGTTCTGATTTTGTGATTGGATGGATTTTCAAAGCATTAGCATTAGCAGAAGCATTTATGTTGTTCTTAAAACCAGTTTTAATCTGTACGTTAGACTGAGAAAATGAGCTAACAAGTAGAACATAAATATGGTTGATACAGGCTGTTCCTAAAGCCATGGGCTAAAATGCAGCCCTAAACTGTCCAAGCGCTTCCTCCAGGCTTGATTAAATGTCCAGTCACCAGTGTGTTATTCTCATCACTTCCTTGTGACAAACTTTTTTGATTTTGTGTACGTTGACCCAGCCCTGGATAAGCGGATGATGATGATGGATGGACGGTGTGCGTTGACGTCTTCTTAACATGAAATGTTTCCATACAAAAATGTTCTTAAACGACTAAGAAACACACAACAAAAAACAAAACAATATCTTTCAACATCAGTGAATGTAACTTGTTTAACATTTAAGTTTAATCATATATTTTCTAGATATTTTCTTGCCCTGCGACTGGATTCTGAACATCATATAATAATGTCAGACAAAATTGTCTTTTTTTATTATGATTATGATTTTTATATCAATTTATTTGACCACTTCAGATTCTTAATTCAAATTAAAAGTAAATCTTTGAATAAGCTTTGAATGTTAAATCAAGAGATAAACAAGTTTCATATCAGGTCAAAGCAATATATCTGTCCGTCTTATTGGTTATGAAATACTCTGCGGCGACAGCACCATCTGATCATGGTGTAATACCTCCCATCATCACCAGGAAAATCCACTGCCGCTGCACCTGTTTTGTGTTCTCTGCGCTGCATCATGAGTGATTTTCTCTCAGCTACATTGTCACATGGTGTATTACCCAATGATGGAGACATCCAATTAGAAGCCAGTCAGGCTGTGGCGCTTAATTAAGAACATACACAACTGTAGCTACACACACATCATCACACGCAGGAAGTGAATGTGCACAGGAAACACTCAGAGCTACTCACTGTTTCTACACGGGCACACGGGGGGGGGGGGGGGGGGGGTGAGGGGATAGGTGGAGATACATTCAGGGGAAAGTGAGGTTGGTGGTGGTGGCGGCAGCAATCTCACCCAATCATGGATGCTGGGAATGACTTTATTAAAGAGGCTCTGTTGAAGTCCAGCAGTCAGGAATTGCGTTTGTGGCAAGGATTGGTGGGAAGAATTGGGGGATCCAAGTGTAGAAGAGCAGGAAAGAGTCCTGAATCCATTTTTTTTATCTGGTGGGAGATCCAGATATCCAATTACCAACTGATCAGTTTGATCAAGATGGAGACAACCTGAATTATTATTTTTTTAAGTTCAATAAAAATCATGTTAAAGATAAAGCAAAAAAAAAAAAAAAAAAGGAATGGAAAAATATAGCTTAAAATTGTTATTATTATTATTATGAATTAGCAAATTGGCAAAATTACTGATTGGTCACAAAACAACCAGAGGCTAGAACAGAATTACAAAAAAAAACCTCCTGAACCCTCAAGTCCAAAGGCCTTTTAATAAGCTAAAGCACCAGGTTGTGGACCAGATAATGAGTATTTTGCTTGGTTTTTAGTTCCATTATTCTATTACTCCCATTGTATATGTATATATATATATAACCCTGTTTATCTTGATCTCACTAAAAAGCCTCTATTAAGATTGACCGTGGCCAGTCAACTGCTTTTCTTCACTCAAACAACATGGTCCATCACTGAGTCTATTGAGTCATCAATAGCCGCTGCAGTTATTTGTCTTTATACAGTGAGTAATCATCTGTCTGGTTGCCCATGTCTCGGGGTTTGATCGGAAAGCGCTTTAGAACAGCAGCGGAAACCTGCCTAACAATCCAAAGAGCCACTCAGCCAAGATTGAGAGGGCCCCATTATGTCGGCTGCCTGTGGTCATATAACAAGGCTTTCTCTGGTCTCTACATAACACACAGCGGTAAATAAATCACAGTTGCGATCCCGTTTATCGATCGGCCCCCACTCATGGCTCCTGTATTTTTTTCCCCCTCCAGTGTCGGCTTCTTCTTTTCTGCAGAATGAGTTGTTGCTTTGTTGTATTGAGGATTGGAGATATTGTCAAAACACCAGGGTTCTGGGTCAAAACATAAAAGGAGACAGAAGGCACTGTGTGGCCCACTCTGTGGCCCACTGTGACGCTGTGTGATAAACATCGATTAGGCTCTGTATTAATCAAAACTATTTCAATTAGCAGCAGCGTTTGCATTCGGCCTCCTGGTGGGGTCGCTGTGTCCTGCCAGGACAACTCTGTTGGTGCCATTGTTTTAGGCCAGATCAATTAGTTACACAGAAGTAATTGAGTTAATTCAACATTGTTATTTAACTGAACAGTCACACAGCTTAATAGACCAGAGAAGAAGACTGATGGTCAACAGTTTACGCAGTGAGAACATAAACATCCAACTGCTCACTACTTTGCCCAAATTCGTTGTCGTTGGATCGTGATTTGCATCAGGACACGTTACTGCTCACATGTGAGTTTAAATGTGATACTTTTGACTGTGGGGTTTGAAGAAAAATATTATATAAAATATATACAAATATTTTTAATTTTAATTTGTCAGATTCTCAAGTTTATGATGGCAACTTGGGTGCGGTAATGTCATAATCTGTGTGTTTTTTTTATATTTTATCTGCTCGTAGGAGCAGACCAACAGCCCAAAAGGGCACACAAAAAAGTGATAAAGACATCAACACATTTACAAACAGCCTCACTACATATAACAGGGTTGACAATGGAGTATTGTCAAATACGTATAATGTGATTATCAAAATATATACATGATTCCCCATAACCAAACACATAACCAAAACTACACAATGTTCCACACATCTATAATAATAACAGGACACACTAAATGTCTGAAAAATAATAAAAACAAATAAAGAATCACCTCCTACAGACCATAAAAGCAGAGCTCTCCCATGGTGCGCGCTTTCACTGGGACACTTTATGCTGCCGGACCAGGAAGTTCAGCGGTGCAAGCGACAGTATGTTTAAGGTAAGATTCTGCTACAGGTCGGGTACCTCACTGTCCGCTGTGATGATTAACTAAATGGAATTTGTCGATAATATACTGTGTTGTGGTTGTTTGTGTACGATGATTTGCATTTAAACGGTTTGGCACGTCAGCGTGTATGCCCGCAGTGCAATCTGGGTAGTGTAGTCTTATGGAATTTAGGCGTTATTTCTACTGTTCAGAATATCGGTCCAAGGGAAACAGAAACAGCAAAAAAAGGGCCTGTACTTTTACAATTCTATACAATTCTTTTACTATTCTATACGTTCCTAAAGGTTCTTGAAAAGTCTTCCAAAATAAAAGTTTTTAAAAAACGAATAGAAGTACACTACACAGTAAAAACACACTAATAATTTCTGGAAAAGTTTCAAAAAAAATTGATGAAAAATGCACTTATTTGTAATAGTAGTAGTAGTAGTAGTTCTAGAGAAGGACCAACTTGCACTTGCACTTTTTCTTTATTTGATGTAGCAGTGGGATAAATAAAATAACTCCTGTCCATACTGAGTGTTATTGGTTTAAATGTTTTGTGTTCTTGGTACTAGTTCATGTGATTGACAAAATATGTTTTTAGTTATGTTTGTTGTTCGAGATATGATATTGGTTTTGGAAAAAATGAAATCAGGTATCGCCCATCACTACTGTTCTAAGTTGTGGCACTTGTAGCATACATTTTTAGTATTTGATATTATAGTAAAATACATTTGCTATGGATTGAAATAGTTTGAATGTATGTTCTTTAGTTTAGAGCTGGGATTTCACACTGTCAGACTTCCTTTCTTCTGAGCGGGGCCAGGAATGGGTGAGAGAAAGGTGGGTGTCTAGGCAGGAACCATTGGGAAATACAGGCGAAATGCAGAGTCATCAGAAACAGCCGTGGACATTATCACTGCAGAACAATGTCTATTTGAAACATCCTTTGTGTCAAAACTGAGAAACTCAGCACTAAGATGCAGTGTCTCCTGTCAAAATAAAAGTCTGGCAATACATCCGCCACAGATTATCACTTAGTCAGTGTAATATATGAAATATGTTACCTTTTTTTCAATATTATCACTGAAATGGAGAGCAATTATTTTTATTTAAATATTTCATTCAATGCTATTATTATTAAAGTATAATAATGTATATTCATAAAAGAGTGATATGGACAAGTAATGAGTCAAATAAAAACATACCATATATAATATGACTGTGATGTCAATTTGCGTCTGCTTCTGTTTAGGCATTTGTGTGTTTGAATGTACGTGCAGCGAGTGTGTAGGCTGGGGGGAGCAATTCTTTTTATTTAAATATTTCATTCAATGCTATTATTATTAAAGTATAATAATGTATATTCATAAAAGAGTGATATGGACAAGTAATGAGTCAAATAAAAACATACCATATATAATATGACTGTGATGTCAATTTGCGTCTGCTTCTGTTTAGGCATTTGTGTGTTTGAATGTACGTGCAGCGAGTGTGTAGGCTGGGGGGAGGGGGTTGATAGGGAGGAGGCTCAACCAGCTGAATTACTGTTGACCAGAGAGCCCCTGATTGACCCTCACCTGATGTCATCCTGATGAATCCATGCGAGTCACTCTGTCATGTCATTCCCCTGCTCTAAATCATAGGAACAGAGAAAAACCTCAGCTGTGAATTTGAAATCGACTTTATTTGGAATGTTTGTGCTGAAAGCTAATTCCTCTCTCACGTGTCTTGTCTCTGTTTTGATCTACGATAATCTTTTCTGATCCCGTGTTATTTGCCTGCCTTTATCATCTCATCTCCTTTTCATACAATCGTTTCTAAAATGTTGCTGTTTGATTGATTGGGGAGAGGGGAGGGGTGTGTGTGCGCATTGATCCTGCAGAATTTGCATGGGAATCTATTTGGTTAAAGCCAGATGATCATAATCGATCAGATGGGATAAAGCCCAAACACATGCCTGCCTTTTAAAGGTTAGGGTGAAAATAATTTGCTTGTTCGTTAGTTACATTTCAATGCTATAATTAAGTCTCGCAAATGATTAAAATGTAAAACAAAAGAGCAATGAGTGTGACTTTGATTGCTCAGGGTGTTTTTTAATCCAATAGCAGGGTCTGATTTTCTCATGGCGTTCATGGTAGAATCCTAATGAAAGGAACTCTGAGCTGTGAAGGGTCTTGGAGACCACTCTGTTATTACAATATATAGGTTTTAAAGCCTTGAAAAAATAAAGTTTATTTTCCAAAAACACAAAATTAGCCCAACATAACCTAAACGTATAGCAAAAAATAGCAACAACAAAAGTAGATATGGAAGAAGTGGTTAGTCCCTTTGTCTTAAAGCAGAAAGATCATTCATTGAAGCCCTGGCAGTGACTGCTGCTGGGCGTTCTGTGTATCTCTGCATCGGCTCATTTATTTTTATAAACTGCATTTTATTTGCACCCGATATATAACAATGGAAGTTAAAGAATACCGTTGTTTAAGATTGTGTGTGGTGTTTTTAACAATCGTTTTAAAATGAATATTAATTAGTTGAAAAATAATTTATTATGACTGTTTTCTTAATCAAATACTGGACATGTCAGGCGACCTCATTTGAATTCCAGGCGACCCCATGTGGGGTGGCGACCCCAAGGTTGAAAAACACTGCTCTATATCGTTCATATATGAATGTGAGTGTAAACGCTCGTATGTCGATGGGTGAATTTCGCAGTGTGTATCTGAGTTGGTCCAATGAATGCAGTAGAAAACTTGAATAAACATTAATAAGACAATAAAACGACTTGGAATGTCAATGCAAAGGAACAAACCTGATAAAAAATGTTAAAGATTAGTTAGTGTCCAAACAGCCTTTTAACAGGTATATGTCCTGTATATACCTGTAACCAATTCTAATCATTCAGCCAGAAAATTAAATAAAAATCCCAAATTAATTTTTTTAACCTTTGCACATGTATATATTTTTATTATTTATATTATTCTTTTGATTAATGACCTCATCGTTCCTCTGTGTCTGCTGCACATGCGAGCATCTGTGTTAGAGAGCGTGTGTGCCGCTGGAAGCCTTCTGGACAGGGCCGAGGTTGAAGGGGGCGCTAACACACTCTCCTTGTCAACAGCAAGGGTAATTACTCCTGGCTGAAATTACTCAACATTTGTTTATAAGCTCCCCTGAGCACAGTGTAAATAGATTGTCTGCTCAAATCCAGTGCCATTGAAGCCCTGCTGTTTCCTGCACACACACACACACACACACACACACACACACACACACTGTAGTTTTCAGTTCACGGTCACACTCTAAGTGTCTATTTTAAAGCGTCTGCCTGGCCTTTAGTAGATCATCTCTTTTAATATATGTTACAGAGTGTGATGTCACAGCCTTCCTGTTGTGTGGACTGACATCCTGTTATGTTGTTAATAATATAATAATTAACCTGTGGAGGGCCATGGTAGCACACATGAATTAGCTCGGCTAGTTTTCCGCAATGGCATAGTGAGATCGGAAGTCTCATTATAGAATCGTATGACTCAGCACTTAATCACTGTTGCCAAAACACATCACTGCAGTTATCGCATAGTATGCAAAAAAAAAAAGGGAAAATAGATACAGACTGTGCATGGGCCACACAGTGGATCAAATCAAATCAAAGACCTAATGTATAAAATTTTACACCAGAGGTGGGCTGTGACCTGGGCCGTGACCTGGGCCTGTTAACCTATAGCAGTGGTTCTCAAGTGTTTTCTGTCAAACCATCTCAATCTGGCTTCTCTAGCTTTTTCTCCAACCCTTCCTGTCTGTGTTGTCCCTCTAATGACCTCATTCCTGATCCTGTCTATTCTTGTCACTCCTAAAGAGAATCTTAGCATCTTTAACTCTGTCACCTCCAGCTCCGCCTCCTGTCTTCTGCCTATTGCTACCGTCTCTAAACCATACATCATGGCTGGTCTCACCACCGTCCATGGTACACCTATGTCTAGCATGCCATATTCCATTGGAAAGCCCTCACGCCTATTAGGATAGCATGAATTAGGATAGCCCAGAACATAGTCAAAATAAATATGAGAATAATAAAAATATGTAATAAGATCGTCTTAAACGTGCTGCCTCTTAGCCCAAGGTAAGCTAAAATGTCTGAAAAGAATAAATTTACCTGAAGTGTAAAATATGTGAATGTTAGAGTCCAATAGGAATCATACATTGTCTAGAATTAGTAACATCTAAAAAAGAGAGAGAGAGAGAAACAGCAAATGGTGTTAATATTTCTTAAACCGGTGTCAAAGATTGAACCAGAGAATTCCTTTCTGTGGAAAGTTCCGGCAGTGGGCTGGAGCCCCCCCCCCCCCAGATGCAGTTTCAGTTGCATCTATGAATCCAATATTGATCGTTGCTTCTGTCACACTTTTAACCGCTACATTCCACACCTTCACTTTCCTTCTGCGTCTTTATTGAAGCAACAATGGCTCTTTTTAGCATGCATATGAAAAGAGGAGAGTGGAGGGAAGAAAAAAAACAAAGGCATTACAAGTCAAGGTCCATCCATGTACTTACTGTATGAGATGGTTCCTGTCAAAGATGACAGTTTGAAACACTTGACCCACAAAAATGAATTCTTGGCCAGGGCCAAGTGACAGCCCAAAGTAATTTATTCTTCTGAAATGTTGACGGAGACGCAGGGAGGAATGAGGAGGAGAGGAGTGACATGAAGAGCGACAGAGCAAGACTGAAAGACGGAGAAGGAGGGGAGGGAACAAGACGAGGCAAACAAAGAGTGTACTAGTGTTAGATAAAGAGACAAGGAGAGGAGAGAAGGAGAGAAGGCAGGAAATATGAAAATATATCATGAATTCAAGTTCCTTTAAACTGGTTTTTACTGCAGTCTGGTTTAGGAACATGTTTATATTGACCTGCAGGAGCTACTGGCACCACAAAGGGGCGATGTGTTTCTACTGTCATAAAGAGAACTTATATGGAAATACCAGATGCAGTGTACTCTCAGTTCGACAGTGCAGTAAAACTGGAGGTAAACCACTGCCTGGGTCATCTTTCCAACTGGTCTTCTGGAACTTTCTGTATTTTAAATGTACTGTTGTTGGCATTAAACAGTTCGTGATTTCTAACATTCTTAACGTTTGGCCCAAAAAAGTTCTTTGCAAAACATTTTGAGTCTTGTACAGTAAGACAAGAGGAAGTTAGT